CCGATGCGGGACTTGATCCCCAGACTCCAGGATCATGACCTGAGCCAAAGGCAGTCGCTTAACCAACTGAGCCACCCAGGCGCCCCCGACCGCCTATTTTAGCAAGTTCCACCTCATGGCCAATCTAGCTCATCTCCACCTCCACCCACTGCCCCTGCTCTCATCATACTGGAAATAAATCCCAGATGTTATCAATTCTTCCACAGTTCAGTATGTTGTACAAGAATGTTCACAGCATATTCTTCATAACAGCTGAAAAGTGGAAATAACCCAAATGTCCGTCAGCTGAGAAAGAAACTGTGGCATCTCCATACAACGGGGTGCCGCTCAGCCAGATGAAGGGATGGAGTACTGGCTCCTACAACAAAAGGGAATGAAGCCGGCCGCAAAAGGCCACGGGCGGTAAGACTCCAGTTGGGGACCGCGTCCAGGGTAGATGAATGCGCAGACAGCACGCAGATCGTGCTCACCTACGCTGGGTGGGAGGGACCTGCTAATGCACACACGGTTTCTTTGGAGAGACGAAACCATCCCGAATGGAGATGCTGGTGAGGGCTGCCCATTCTGGGAATGTGCTGACCCATGCCATCCTCTAAAGTGTGCATTTTACCGTATGCAAATTACACCCCAATACTGCTGTCATTTAAAAAATCAGTTTCAATCTCTAACATGTAGGGTTTATTCATTTTTTTTTAAAGGATAAAGGCAGCAAGACCAACCAGACTGATAACGGAGGCCAGCGATCGGTGTCCGAGCACCCGAGGTCCACCGAGACTGGGCAGGGAACGGAGGGGCACAGGGACCCTCAGGGCTCCAGTCGGGAAGGTGCTAACCGCCACTCCCTGGGACGGAGAGCCAGGCAAGCAGCCGCCCCAGGAAGACAATCCCAGAGGACAGCCGTCACAAAGGACTGGGGCCGGGGCACGTGCGTCTCCAGACACCCCCACTCCCCAAGTCTAACCCTCAGCGCACTGGAAAGGCACTGAAGCATTTCCACACGGAAGGAAATCCTCCCCGTCGTCGTGGGAAGAGAAGTTGGCGTCAGTAACAAACCGGCCAAGGGCCTCCTCACCTGTGCCTCTCCCAGGTCATTGTTCACCACAGTGAAGTTCAGCCCAAGTTCCTCCACGTCGCCTTCGTAGCTCTTGAGAAAAAGCAGATTCTTATACACTTCGGGATCTAACGAGGCGAGATGATGGATGTCCACGTCTGCGCTGGTTCCAAGCAATTTGGACAGGAAGAACCCAGCAAAGGGCAATTCTACCAGCATATTTTCATAGAGAGCCTTCAAATGAGAACAAGGAGCAATGATTAGCATTTCAGAGGAATTCTTTTTTCACACTGCCTACGAATAAAAAAGTCCAACTCGAGATTTAACAGAATCCTGACAGCAGCTACTTCCTCTTCATAATGACGACGATGGTGGAAGCTAGTATTTGGTGAGCACTTACCGTGTGCTAGGCCAGGTGAACCATTCAACGCATGCATTCAGTGTGTCGCAAATTCTAGAGCAGACCACCAGCACGTTTTAGGGCTGCCTCACAGAATGTGTGTACCGATGGGGTGTTCCAGAGCCCCGTCTTTTGTGCTGCAAGAGGTGGGCACATGTTTTTGGTAGAGGGCTGTGCAGGCGTGTGAGTCCCCGAGAGCTGCTGTACCAAAGCAGCATGCGCTGGGGGCTCAGAACAACCGAGACCTGGCGCCTCAGGGTTCTGCAGGCCACAAGTCTAACTCCAGGTGGCAGCAGGGCACACTCTCCTGAAAGGCCCCCTTGTCCTCTCTGATGTTGCCGGCCACACCCGGTGGCCCCTGGCTTTTGGCTGAGTCACTCCAAACTCTGCCTCTTCGGGGGGCTGTCTTCCCTGTGTGTGTGTCTCCCTGTCCTTTCTCTTACAGAGACCAGTCATTGGATTTGGGGGGCCACTCTAACCCGCGATGACTCATACACAAAGATTCACTTCCAAATAAGGTCAGGTTCACAGGTACAAGGGATTAGGAGGGAACCTCATTTCTGGGGGGGGGGGGGGTCACAATTCAGCCCACAATAGTGGGCTGGACTGGCTTGGTGGCCACTCCTCCGCTCGGCCTTTGTAGCAAAAAAGGAACACAGGGCGGGGCCGAGTGAGGGCAGCTGTGTACCAGGGCTGGACTGCATGTAATTCTCAATGCCAAGAAACACTGTTCTTTAGGCTTTTTCGGCCATCAGACGGAAAAAGCCCTCTTAGCACACTGGCCACACAACAACAGGGGGCAGGCTGGACCTGGCCCACAGGCCCTGTTCTAAACCGAAGAGACTGGGCCTTGGGACTCACGGGCACTTGGGCGGACATGGTGAGTTAGCACGGGGCAGCGCTGGCGCCAAACCCAGACGCCCTGACGCCCACAGGAGGACCTCTGCACTCTGGGTTCCTGTCTACTTTGTGTCCGAGGGCCGTGCGCGGAACTGTCTCTTCACTCGTGTACCTGAAAGGATAACTTACATAGGGCCAGATAAAACGCAGAGCCTGTAAGTGCAGCTTGATGATTGTATTTGACCGTACCCATGCAGTGGCCGCTCGGGTGAAGGCACAGAACACCTCCCCTCCCCAAATTCCCCCGAGAGCTCCCTCATGACCTTTAGCCACAGCCTCCCTCACGTTCAGCCCCTTCTGTGGCCGTCACCACGGGCGCGCTGCCACCCCAGGACTCCGCCGATGGCACCAGACAGCGTGTGCCTCCTCACAGCAGGATGCTTTTGAGATTCACCTGTTACTGTCTGTTCTTTTCCGCGAGGCTGTGTACCATCTCCAGCCCTGGGCCTGATGATGGACGTGGAGCTGTTTCCCATTTGAGGCTAGGATAAACAAAGCTGCTGGACCGTCAGCGTGAGCCTTTCTGTGGATCCATGCTCACCTCTCCCAGTATAGACTTCAGACCCGTTGACGGGGGAAGCACTGGGCGTGAGGTGCGCTTAGCTGTTATCAGGCAACGACACACTGTCTTCCAAAACGCAACCATTTTCCACCATGACCAGCAACACAGGAAGGTTCCAACTTGTCCAGAACCTCACTGATCATTAGCGTTGTCAGTCTTTTTTAAGTTTAGTTATTCTGGTTGGTGCAGTGGGGTATCTCACTATGGTTTTAATTTGCATTTCCCTGATGACCGGTGGTACTGGACGAATTAAGCGCTGGTGAATATTACTACATTACTATATTAATCTCCCGATTCTCCATCCAGAGAAAAGAGGGGCCAAGTGATGCAGGTTTCCCAGCATGATGTCAGGGTTCATCCTGCACGATAAATACTCCTATGGCCTAAGGCTGTAAAGTGCATTTTAAACACGCACTATCTACAGTATTCATGTTGTATTCCAATCAGTGCTTGGGATTTTCACGTAGAGGGGAACAGAAAGTTACAGTGAGTTTTTGTCTTCAGGAGCGATTGTCCCAAACAATGAAGAATTTTTCTGTTCAGTTTGGGGGACTGGAAGGGCAGCCATGTCACAAAGCACAGGCTGGTCTTAGTCTCATTTCCCATTTCCTGTACAGCTCTGAGAGAGTTCTGACATTGAAGATGTTCCCTCCACACTCCGGTCCCTCGTGGAAGTGATTGCACAACACACCAACCAGAAAGCTAGATTGAGAGAAAGTGCAACAAGGAAGCAGAAGTGGGCTGTAAAATTTTCAGAAACGTTCTTATTTTCTTCTAACAGATGATGGCCTTGGAAGCCCCAACAAGTCCTGTCAAACTGTTCCAATGAACGTAAGCTACTATGTATTGATGCTAGCTCTGAGCCAGGCACTGCGCTGAGCACACATCAGCTGTCTCGCTTGCATCTGGCCTGTCCGGAAGATCTCCTAAGTGGAAGGCAAGAGTCACTCTTCTACAGAAGTCTAGGGGAAATCTGGGTTTCCATGCCCGAGGACATTTTTGCTAAAGTAAGAGTGGTCTGCAGAGACATGACAATGACAGGGAGAGTGGAGTCGCCACCCCCACTTGGTAGGTGGGGAGCTGGAGGCAGAGCCTCAGGCACACATTCTCACAAACCCTTCTCCTTCGGGGGGATGGCGGGGGAGCCCCGCTTCAGAAAGTACTCAATGAGCTGCGCTACGGATGTATTCAGAGCTTTTCTTTAAGTCACCGTTGAAAGATCCAAGTGCCACCACGCTGCTCCCGGAACACCGCCATAAAACAAACTGTAATCCCAGGGGTAGTCGCTCGGCCGTGAGACCGCGACTTCAGAAGCCCCTCTTCCAGGAGGCCATTCACCCGACCACGTCCACACATGCGAGACGTGAGACACGAGGCTCTGGTGAGACACACCAGTGCGAGTGAACACAGCAGACGAACAGCTTCCGGGGAGCAGGGGCTCCGGCCCTCCGAGCCTCCAGCCCCCGCGCCACCCTTCACGTTGGGTGAACATGCCCTGCCCACGGCTCCCGGCACCGCCAGTTTTTACTCAGCTGGGTCACACCGGATGTGGGCCACTTCCACTCGGGCAACAATCAGCGGTGGCGCTAGTCTGTAAACCAATGATCCTTAAACACACCAAAAAACGTACCCTCGAATGAGTGTTTCCCCTGTCCCTCCTACGCCGAGAATGCTCAGGTTCACCCTGAGTGAGACCCACACTTCAAAGTCTGTCCCACTCACAGGACTGGAAGGAACCAGAGAATAGCTATCAAACATCGTCCTGAAAGTAGCATCCAGTGTGCACTGGCTTCTTGCCTCCGGACGCCGCTGACAGACAGTATGAATTAACACTTCTTCCCAAGGTTAACACGTCTGAGGACTTCAGGTTCGCCATCTGTTAACTACGTATTTCATAATATCCCCCTTCCAGCTAAGACTCCAGATGTTCTCTGCCAGGGAAACTGGAGTGTTATGTCCCCGTGCTTTTATTTCTGATTTGAAGACTAACGATTACCCAATTAATTCTGAAAACGTGGCAAAAAAAGACTTCTGAATGAGAGAATGAGCAGTAAGATGGCGACCAGCACTTAACTCATCTACTGACAACGCAAAGAAAGAGTTGTTTTGAAAAACCACAGTTTGCTTAAAGTTAAGAATGGCTAATGCTATTAACCTGGAGCACTTAAAAATCCCATTACTTCTAAATGAACGATGGCTTCACAGCCAAGGAGAACGTTCTGCGCCAGATGCCATGACGGATTCCAGGTGCTGAAGAACAGTGTCATTTGTACAGTGGACTTTAAAGTAAACTGGAAGTGTAAATCATGGGGTGTTCAATATACAAGGTCATCGTTTGCCACTTCTGCATTAGTAACAATAAACCAGTGAAATTCGTTAAATAGATCAGAGCTACCTGAATTTTAAACAGAAATCCCACTGTGACTCATAAAATGTAAATGCCTAGGTATAATTTTTTACATAAGGCAGGTTTAAACCTTTAGAGCATTTAATATACAAGCACTAATAAATGATAGCACTAAAAACTATGATTGCATCAGCTAAATGGATTATAAATTAAATTTCCATAAATGTATGCAACTGAGATACAAATGTAAGCATAAATCAACGTATTTTCTAAACACAGGTTAATTATACAATTTCAAAACTGCCTATTTTTTATGCAAAATAATCCACTTAGCATTTTTCACACTGGCCTTAATTCTCAGCCGGTTGCACCACACTTGTTCCAGAAGCACATCAATAACGACTTGTCACGAAAAAAATTGCAATAGGTATATGGAAAAAACCTGTAACGTATTTTTCAACTGTCTGTCTTTTATGAGTGTTTATAGCTAGAAATTGTGCCAAAATGATTTGAAATAAAAAGGATTAATTATAGTAGAAGCCTTTTAATATAAGTGAGTGCAGTCGCAATGCAATTAATGCAAATTGTGGCACTATCGGGAGAATAAATGTGAACCACATGAGAGGCCATTTCTGTTTGCTGCCAAATAACTTCAATAATTTACTACATTAAGAATCAATAAAAAAATAATGCTTTTCAAATGCATCTCTATCAATCTTCAGGTAGTTCTAAAGTGAACATTTATAACTTAATCTAAAAACTATATCAGAGCTGTCTTATGTTAAAGCCGCCCTAATTGAGCAAAAAGATAATAATTTTAATTATTTCAGATCATGCTAACCCTGCAGTTTAAAAAAATAAGAAAGAAATGTAACATAAGGATGTGCGCTGATAGTAATATGCTATTTAATAGTTGTGCTTCAACATGCATACCCACGAGTGGAAAACACGGTGTCTGACTGGGACTACAGTGGATTTTCAGGACCACAAGCTCCCACAGGGCAGAAAACACCCCTCATCCTTAA